GACTCTGGCGTAGAGTGATGTGACACTTTCGTTTAGCCGGGCAGGGCCAAGACGGCCCTTTAGGGCTCAGACCCCTAACGACCGGGCTTTTAGACAGTTTTCACTTCCAGCGCGAAAAAGTTCTGTATCTGCAGAGCAGCTTACAACCTGTCCACATCAATATCAATTCTGGCCACTGTTCGACATCGAATCAACGCCATTTAACAGCATAATTAACACATGTTCTTCGCACAATCGATTGCACACGCATCATCGGTGGACATCGACTAAATTGGTTATCTAGTGCGAGATGCTGCTTCTGCACTATCCGACTGGTTGGGTTGGTTGGTTAGCTAGGTTTTTCATTAGCACGTCGTCCAGCTGCATTTCGAGTGGAATCGGTGGCGACGTTTTTGGACGGGGGCCTGTCACTGCTATTCGCATCGCTGCAACAGGTGACACATCCACTCGACTGGAGTGGATCCCAAACATGAAAAACCCGAGCACTATGCATCCGATAACTTGTCATGCGATCCACTATGGGTGGAACAATTACAGCCCGGTTCTTAATTGAGTTATGAGTGCTTCTTGTTAGCCGAATTCCCTAAAATGATCTATCTGTAACGAGGAAGCGGCTGTCGCTTGGGAATCCATCGGCGGATTCTGGGGCAAGTTGATCCGTCGCTTCCAAGAACTGTCAGCACCGTAGATGAAGCCGCGTTCCCCGTTTGTAGATCAATAATGCGACAGAAATGGCCTAATGAGTAAATTAATTGCACTGGCCATGATCTTGTCCAGCCTTTATTTGATCAACACTAATTCGCAATAAAGACTCAATTAATCAGGCGAGAGAAACGCCCCCCAACTTGACCCAACAATCGGGTGGTAATTAGTGATTGATCTCGGAGCCTCAGAGGGAATCATTAGTAGAGGTTAAGAGTCGTTCGCCCTCGTATGTAGATGCAACGAAAGTGCAGCGATTTCTGTGCTTTTCACTTTCCTTGCGAGCGTGTTAACAATTGCTTGGCCCTAATGATGGCTCATGCAGGTTATCCATCGATTAAAGTCGTTCACTCCAAAAAAAATAAACAAACAAATGGAAAACCTGCGAAGAGATGAGCTTTGCCAGATTAGATGGGCTATTCCATGCTGGTTGCTCCTCCAGCTTCCAGCTCTCACTTTTTCCCAATCTATTCGGTGGAAACTTCAAGTACCCTACGAACTGGGAAGAGTATCTGCAGAACTGCCAGAACTCTGAGACTTAGTCCGCGGTGTGAAACGGGAACTGCCACTAAATTAAGACATTTACGACCTGGTCAGATGCGAATCAATAATGAAATGGCCATGCAAAATTCTAGACACAACAAGCGAAGCGTTTAAAAGCCGCCTTGGGGAATGCCGCCGCACCGAGCAACGGTAAACGGATGGCCAAAATAGAGAGGAGAGGAGGGGGCGGACTTCATGACTGCAGATACCCGACTTGAGATTAGAATGAATCATTTCCAGCATCCTAATTGAGTTGTGGCCGCGCTGGCAGCCCGAAATATTAGCAGACGCCTTGTCGATGTCCAAGTCCGAGTCCGAAATCCACCGTCTGAGGCGATGTCTGAGCTGGTGTCGTGGAGAGGTGTGAGGCTATTTAGCCAGGCCAACTAACCCGGGCCAAGCAGCAACGATTAGTCGCGGATTTCGACTAGCACCGGGTCTGGGACGAAGGCGAGGAAGTGGACTAACTCCTGGCGAAGGGCCATTTATCAAAAGCTGCTCGTGTCTCGTCTCTTTGCCAAATTAACCGTTCCCCGACTGACTGACTGACTGACTTAGAGTCTGGCCAACTAGCTAACGGGAGACAGCCTGGATGACTTCTCATCCAAAGGAATACCCACCGCTGAGCTCACCCACTTTAATTGCTCCATTGATGCTCTCACACCGAAAGTGTGAGCCAGAAGACGGAAGCCAGCAGCCAAACGTAGTCCAACTCCGAGGGAATGTAGTTCTCTGGGTCAATGCGAGCACCTGAACTAATCAAGCCGCAGAGACAGAGGCACGAGCTCAGTCAGCCGATAATTTCCCTTGACTCTGGCAGCTTTCACAAAACGATTCGCGAATGCTGCACGCATCGAGAGTGTGACAAGAACTTTTGACTTTTCAGTGGAGTGGAGATGCGCAGAGTTCGATCGAGGCACTCTGAACCTCAACTCCCTGATGAACCCAAAGGGAGGATTAGATCATACATATGTATACAGATATCTGTGAGAATTGGTACTCGAGCTGAACCTCACGTTCGATGTGGAAAAGGGTCCATAAAACACAATGGAGCATCTCCTGTCCGAGTTCTATTGTTCTATCGGTGGCCATGGCTTGCAAATTTTCGGCAGCTTTAATGTTTATTCATGAATTCCAACATGAAACTGCAATGCAACTAGGAAGAGACAAGTACTCCGGCCTGCACAAACATAAATCAAATTGGCCAAGAGCCGAAGTCAATGCTAAAGCCAAAGTCAGAGTCACAGCCAAGTCAGGGCAGAAACTGCAACACGCAGTCATGGCCAACTGATTGAGCTGTCGCGTATTTGGGTGAGGTGAGATCGCCCAGTGTCCAAATGCCCATAGAATATGGCGGACTGGGGTTGGGGTATTCCTATTTCTGGCTTTGAGCTTGGTGTCTTGGCTGCTTAGGGAAATCTGCCGAGGAGAAAACGAAAATTTCCATACAACTTGTGCTCTTATATGGCTCCAGATCTTTGCCATTTTCACGGACTTTTGTCATATCAAATGGTAAATGGAAAATGGCAAATGCTAAAAAGCCCGCCCACAACTGCCATCAGTTGGGATCCAGCCCGGTCGGAGTCGGACTTGGAATTGGAATGCATTCATATCTGTGGGAACAACTGGGTCAGCTCAAACAACAAAAGTGCATCAGGATCAGCATCAGCATCAGCGGTGCACTAACGGAAGACGATTATCAATTTTATTTTGGCCCATATTAATGGACTTTATTCCACTCGCACTTTGCCAGCCCAGTGGCAAAATCTGAAATGGTTTTCGTGTTAGATAGTCACAGTGGTTCAGAGTGGAGTTTGATTCGTGAGTGCTCCATGGAACCCCTTTATTATTTATGTCTTTTATGAAGACCTTATAAAATAATTATATTCCTAACATAATTGGTCAACGGAGAGTCATACAAATTCTTAAAAAAGGTTATTACTTTACAGTTGGGACAGGTAAAGTCTTAAAAAAAACGAATATGCAAATTCCTGTTGTAAAAAATCATATTAAAATAAGCAAGAATCATAATTTTCATAATAAAAATAAAATATTTTTATTTTTATGAATTATATGAATTTATTAGAGCTTTCTTAGAAATGTGCAAATAAATTATATTAGATTCCTTATGCAATACGTTGAACTCTCTGGGAGTTTCCGGGCAGTTTCCTCGACCTGTACTTTAGTCAATTTGTTTTAGCTGATGCCCCACTGTGAAACGAGTTCAATAGTCTCCATTGGACTGGCTCTATTACGAATTTTGCTACACCCAAGTGCATTCAATGAGCTTCAATCTTTCGGCTGGCGGCGGTGGCTTTCTTTTGATGCACCGGACTGATGTAATATGTTTGGACTGCAATCGATTCGAGCTGCGCACACATAACCGTATCATCTCCTTGGGCCCCGATAGAGATCCAATCCTACTATATAATGGCATTTACTTCCCCCCTTTTTGAAAGCGAAAAGTACAGCCGGATAATGGACAATTTAACATTCGGGTGGGGGAAAAGCTTTGAAAAGCCGTTTTGCAATTGTCTGCATTTTGTTGACTCTTGATTTGTTGAATTAATGTTGTTTTGGCCATTTTGTGGGTCACAGCTGCGTTTGCAGTAAAAGCCATTTGTTATATCTTCGGCATTCGGCACTCAGCATTCGTGCTGAGCAATGTCAGAGGAGTATTATTTTTGACTTGGCAATTTCTGGCCGTTTAATGAAACGCACATTCCCAGCATGTCTGGAATAGAAGAGAAATTCTCGATTATATGCAGGCGGTCGCGGCGGAGATTAAGCTTCATTCGCGGATTGCTAATGAAGAATCGTGTGTCTATGGCTAATTAGGCGAATATCCATTAAGGCTATAAAAGCCAACAAAATTAGGTTTATAGTGCACAAACTCAATGGTCCATGGCTATTTATATCCGCCATCTACAAACAAAAGACTCAGGCAACGAACTCGAACTCGTTTCTGTGCGTTACCCGAATTGCCATTACTGCCCGTCGGTTATTGTTGTAAGTTGGTGTGTGAATTTATGCATAAAGATTATAATATTTTTGCAGACTTTAACTCAAGCCGTAGCACAGTTAGTTCTGACCGGGGGCCCTGATACGTTCAATAATTCAAACAAAAAAGTAGCCAACAAATTTTTCAACATTTTCTTGTTATTCCATTTTTTTTTTGTAGACCACAAAACGCCCACCAAAAAGCCTGGCTCCAAAGATGCCCGGCGGCTAGGCTAGAAAAAAATGCAGTCTGTTAACTGAAATTGGGTTGTCCGCTTGACCAGCAGCCGTGTTGCCTGGTTTTCAAAGCTCTTCTCGTTTGCGTTTCTAACAATTTGTCTTGCAATTAGTCAAAATTATTGTGCAATGTTTATCCACAAGCCACGAGTGACACTTCTGTCAATAAACAATTCATTTGCATAACTCCAGGCACGATTCGCTGCCATAACCATAACCTCGATGCTGTATACCGCCCCCTCTTATGTCCAGACTTTGCCGTAGGAATGTTCGGTAGCTGAAGGCTCATCCATAGTTTTCCAAGTGCAAATCATCTTCACACTTTTGCCGAGGATGCTGGAGTACATGGGTGACTTTGCATATTCAGCTTATGCCTTTTGCTAATAGAGGGTATAATAGTTTGCTGATGAGGCGCAAAGTGATGAATGTTTGGCTGCTAAGTGATGGGCGTATAAGTTACAAAATGGTGAGTTCATCAAAGTTATTCCATTTCCCTTAAATCCAGAACATAAATTATCAAGTTATTTAAAATAAGTTTATTTCAGTAAATGTAGTTGGAAATTTTGTGGAAACTTTTAAAGGGTCAGCATTATTGTTTTTTGCAGCCATCTTTTCCTTTATCTTTATCACCCGGCTTGGTTTTGCACTTTGGACCAGTTGGAGCTGTACCTTTATTGAGATTTAAAAAAAATCAAAATGGAAATCTATAAAACTTATAAATTTGCTTACTTCTTCCGCACTCGTCCGTTTGGGATTTCTTATTGGGCTTATCTTTATCTGCAGGCTTATCCTTATCCTTGCAAAAGTATAAAGTAGATCGCTTGTTAAAGAGCTCCCTTCTTAGCTTCATACCAACAACGGTCATACGAAACATGATCGTGCTATTCTATATAATTTATGTTCTCCAAATATATGAGCTCAAAAGTGGTGAAAATACAGAGTTTTTTAAGAATTTTGTTAAAAAAAAGAGATTTTAAGGCACTTCTGTGGAATTGAATCCACCTAAGTGTTCGAGAATTTAACAGTAATTAATATGAAACATTAAACCCAGGGGCTACTCTGTGGGAGTTTTAAAAATCAATTTTTTAGACTATCACGAAGTATTCGATCTTCGATATCTTTAAAATTAAAACACTCGTTGAGGTAAGATATGCACCAACAATGGCAAAGATTCTTTGAGTACTATAATTGACGGCTGTCTGTCTCTGACTTGATTAACTCATCGATGGTTCAATGAATGACTAGTTAGTTAGAGGATGACTCGATTGACAGCCAATATTTCCAATTTGTTTGGCCATAATTGATGACTCATAAATCATGTAATATTGACGCGCCTTCGCAGGTTGTGGAGTACGGGTTTTCTTTTATTCGATCGACACTGATGGCCCGTTAAGCGATTCCATTGCTCGGCAGCATGCAACTAATAAAGTTGGGGTTCACTTCAATGAAAGTGAGAGTTCGGGGCAACAAAAATAGCATAGCCGATGAAAAACGTTTCGATTTGAATATGAATGCAATGGGCTAGAGAGTCTGGCAGAAAGCCCAAACAAGACATTTGGCCACAAACAAATGAAGAAAGGAAACAGTAACTTTCATTTCTTATGCTTTCGTTCGACTTGCGTCGATCATCTATCCAATTTTAGAAGATCTTTTATTTGCCAACATTCCAAGAAACTTATTTTCCCACATTTGTCATTGCATAACTGATGAATGATTTGTATCACTTTGTCCATGTGCGAACTTTCGTTTTTTCACAACGTGTGTGAACATTTTCTCGCAGCGAAGGTCACTTACTTGGCCAGAGTTCTGGTTTCTGACGGTGTCACCGACAACCTACTCCAAAATTCTCAATTGAGGATAATTTCATTTATGGACGGACAAGAAAATTGAAAGTTGGAAAGTGTGCCGCCGAAAAAGTAAATTTATTTTGTGAAAATGAAAGCCGAGCCATGTAGGGCCGTAAAAGTCGCCACCCGTCCATGTCAAACTAATATTCTTGGCACTGTTTCACGTTTCTTTGTGGGGCATTTGCATATGCGATAAGTGGATGAAAACAAATGTTTTTCGGAAGTGCTTATCAGTGCCCTAAAATGTGGCCTAATACTCTCTGCTAACTGTAAAACTAATTCAGTCATTTACTACACTCATTTAAATGAACCCAACTTCCGTTGGCCCCAAAAAAAGGAACTCCCTCCCAGTCGAGTGATCAACAAATTGTTATTGATTCCGATCAGGGCGAACGATCGCCCTCCGAATTGATGGCATCCCATTCACGTGCTGGGTCTGAGCGCTGTTTTATGGGCTCCCAGCCGAAGATCGATCGGTTGATTGTTTGTCAAACTCATCAAATACATATTTCAAGTTGGCCGGCAGCTTCATGGCCCTCGATCGTCGGTAAAGATCGCTTCCAAGCCACATTTACGGCGGCCATTCAAGTTTATGGCCCAGAAAGTTCGGTAAAACGATCGGCGGGAGAGGAGCCCTCACATGCCGTATCTGGGATCGGTTTGCCACCTCTTTCGGGCTCAGATCGGCTGGCGTTACGAATTTGAGTTAGAACCCCTGGTCGCGGCATTGGCAAATACAATTATGCTTGACCGGCCATTATTTGGATTTAATTTAGCGGATTAGCGACCACCCAGAGGCTCCCGCATTCAAAGATTCCCTGAATAGTGGCGGCATATCTCTTTCGCAAAATTAGCGAGAACTTTGCGGGGTAAGCCGATTGGACATAAGTCAAAAGCAAATGGAAAACTTTATGATATTAAACGTGAATCGAAATCCACACAAGGCGAATTCCGTGTAATTAATTAATTTCAAATTTCCATCGGTATATGAATGTCTCTAAAGTGGAAACGTATGTGACTTCTAGTTCCAATACAGACCGAATGCATTGGTTTGTTTCCATTCCCCGAATCGAATGACTTGACCTGCTTGCCAAATCGCTTCTCTCCGCGATTGAAAGTGGGCCTCTTAATTATTACCTTAATTATACGCATTTAGCAGCAGTTAAATGATTGTTAAGTGCCAGACCAGCGGCTAAAATTCCGCACATGCCAAGCTCGATTAGTCGAGGTCCAATCACGTCATTTGGGTGAAATTTTAATAGATTGCCCAGGGCTTTCGCCTCAAAGAAGGGCTAGCTGAGTGCTTCGATCGGAAACCCTTCCGCAGTCCCTGTCGAAACACTCGCAATAAAAATCAATTAGTCAAAGTGCAAGTTTATTCGAATTCCACCAAAGTGCATCTCTAACTGTAACTGCAGTTCGTATCTTGGCTTGTGGCATAAGGTTAAGTGGCACTTAAGTGCGCACAATGGATTGAAATTTAATTAACTTGCGGCCATTGATAGTGACTCGGTAGCTGTCGAAGAGTTTAGTAGTTCTAAAAAAAAAACAATTTGAAACTCGACGACAATTGCCACTGCCACCTTGGTAACCCCAGGAAGCAACTGAATCCACCGCAACTGGCACAAACTCTCGGCCGCTTTAATTGCCAGCCCGATAAATGGCAGATAGCTTTAAGCCCAAACATAAATTTGGAGTAGCAGACCCAGGAACTCGCTCGCAGATCGCTTTGCATTCTGCCGGGAGAGCCCCGTTATGCAGCGATATTTGGCGACCCCTTGGCCTCGACTTGGCCATTTATTTTGTCATTACCCGACTCGGGTGGTCCCTCAGTACCTCCGCCCGCAGCCACTCCTCCTCCTCCAATCGAAAAACATTTTCTGTAAGCAATTACACAAAAAGCAGCTTAGTAAATTATGTATGGGCGAAAGGCAGCGACGAAGCCGGGAAGAATCGCCCAAAGTTCACAAAACACACAAATTGCCAAATCATTGAGTGAGAACCCTTCAAGACGCTCGCCTTGGCTGGGGACTTACATTCGTCTGGCCCAGGCCGGTCCCAACGAATCTCAGTCAGAACCGCTGCTTCAGTTTCCGAATCGAGTTGCATAAATTTCAGGCAAAATTTATCGAAAGTGTGCATCTTACGCCCGCTGCAAATGGTTGGGAGGCCTTTTATTCCTCGGCTGCCTAGCTTAGCTTCTCTGTTTTCCTCGTGGCTTGGCTTTGCATGTCTATTTAAATCTTAACATGCCGCTGACAAAATGCTCAGCAATGAAGACAACAAGAAGGAGAAAAAATGCTGCTGCGGAATTAGAAACCACAATAAAAAGCAACGGGAAGACGTCTGGCCTGGAAATTGTGCCAGTAGTGTAGACATGGCCACATTTAACAGGAGCAGCAGGATCAAGTCTTGTTCGAAACCCTGTCCCATCCCCTACCCACCTCCCATAGTCCCCAGAGGCCCTAGTCCCAGATCCACCGTCGTTTGTCCCCAAGTTGTTTCCCGGCTGTTTAGGCGATGTCAGTGCTGATAGGCGACGCTGGCTGGGATCGGGTCATGCCGCAGAAGGAGATGCAGATGGGCCAGGAGGCGACTCCCCCGCGGGCTCAAAGTTCATGACATCCTCCTCTGTATCTTTGTCTCTGTGCCTTTTTGTTCCTATCGGAAATGTTGTTAATTCTGCTTGTATGATGCGATGTTCTCGTGGGGCAGATGCAAGATTAAGAAATTTGTGTTGGCCGATTGTGTGAATTGCGCGTCCACACATCTTCCATCATCCATTAATCTGAGAGCAGACCTTTCGTTTACTTAATTATAGAAAGGTGTTCCCTGTGCCATTCCCCAATCACAAGATATGGGGCGTGTTGTACGACTCTGATTCCCTTCGATTGCGAGTGACCTGGATACCATAAATCATCTTGGCTCCGTGCTAATTGATTCTCGCGAAAATGGAAAGCAAAAGTTCTTCTCCCCCCATCGGATTGTGGGTCAAACCAATTCCCCAGGTTGTCGTTGGTGCCAGCATCGCAGATTGTTCATATTTACGGCCATTTGCATAAATCTGAACTGAGGAGAATGTCATCCATGTGCGTGAGTTGAAACCGAATTGAAGCCAATAGTCGCACGAAAACCTGTTGACTTCAGCCGGTCGAAAGTTTGAGGATAACAAATGAGAATCTTGACGGCTAATGATGCCACCGCTGACTCTCTGGTCAATGGGTTATCTGTTATGCCGGGGCATCTATTTCTGCGAGTGCCAGGCAATTATCGGCTATTAGAGGTTTCACTTTTAACAGATCTTTGGCATTCGGTGGCGACACTGAATTCTTTTCTCTGCCGATTTAATGAACTTTCATTTCCTGCCCCGAACATTTGCAATTCTCTTGCCAGTTTAGCATTCTGCATAATACATTCGAGTGGGAATACGAATCGAGTGTCACCGCCATCCCAGCTCCAGCTTCAAGCCCGATTCCTATCCGATTCCAGCTGATGCATGGCCATCGCTCATCTGCTGTCTCTGGCTTGCTTTTGTCTCTGGTCAGAATCGTGACGCGAATGCGACCAGCGACACATCCAAGGATGTGCAGAAGAGACCTTGAGGAGGATGGGACACTCAGCCAAATGTGTGTCGATCGCCGAGTTTTGATTTAGTTGAAAGCCTCGGCGGCTTGACACCCGACATGAGTGAAATGCTCATTCGAGGCTCTGCATCGGCGCATTCTACATTCTCCTGGCATTATTTCATTAAATCCGTAGCCATTTGATTGGAATCACTTTCGGTTCGCTGGGAAGTGAAACTTCTGCACGACGCACTTTCGATGGCACGTGAGACAAGCGGAGTGCACTGGGAACTCGGAGCTGACCAGGAGACCTCCGATCTGAAGAACAATATATGGGAAAGCCCTCGCCAGAGGGTCAACTCACTTTGGGAAAAGGGGAGGACTGGCAAGTGAAATGAAATGAAAATTGCAATAAATTTCACTCTTGTGCGAAGAAGAGCGGCATCTAATCACAGGCAAGGGCAGCCCGTTCAACTCCCAACTCTGGGCTGGCAGCAAAGATTTCAAATGCAACTGCAACTGGTTGCCGAAATGCAACGTGAGCCACATGCAACTGCAGCATGAAGCACATAACAGCAAAGTGGAAGCTCCGAAGAAAGAGAAACAGAAGTCACAGGAGGAGCTGCGGCAG